CCAACTGAATATACCCTCCTTGGGAGCTCGTTCATCGTACTACTCTGGCCTGTATTGGGCGCCTGACATAGAATTACTGAATGAACGAACGAGTGAATGATTGGGAAGAAAATTATTTGCAAAAGACTTACTCTCCATGAGGCGGATGACATCCGAGGTTAGAAATGTTGGCTTTGGCCTTAAGATTACGGAAGAAAGCAAAACCATCATGTCTTTTTCCCAGGCCAGTGACGCTTAACCCTACTCACATTTTCCAGGTTCCCCCTTCAACTGAAGAGTCGGGGGGGGGACCCTGTTTTCACACCCTGTCGAAGATTCTGTAAGGTAGTCACAGCAAGAGACTTTCTTTGAAGGGCTTTGAGAGATGCAAAGATGGTAACAGCACTGACCTTGAAGGCCAAGGGCCTCACGCCTCAGTAAGAGACCCACAGAGAGAGAAATGTGACCCCCATGGTTTCAGAGTTCATGCTCGTGGCCTGTACCGTTTTGACAGGAGAGGAAGGAAATTATAATATTTTTTGAAAACTTTTTAAGAATGGAGGACTACGTATCCATCCCCATCCTCATTAATGATGATTTCATTTAGAAGTTCACCTTATTAAAACACAAACAAAGCAACACATTTGTTTGCATAGAAACAGTTCTCATAATATTTGATAGACTTCTTTTAATTCTAGCTAGGCTTAGAATGAAAGCATGCGTCTCACCCCGGAAAACTGCAATCCAGCCACAGTTGCTGGCTCCCTCGTGCCGTTTCCTCCACCTTGATCACTGAAGCCCAATAAAATCTCTCTAGCAGACTGCGATCTGAGATCATATTTATTCATTTAAATAAGACAGAACTAAAGTGGGATAGTTTATATTTTAATCTACAATCTCATATCTAATATAATAGCATCAGGCTAAAAAAAAATTCCACTTTCCTGGCCAGGCCTGGCTCAGTGGTTGAGCATCGACCTAGGATCCAGGAGATTGAAGTTGGATTCCCTGTCAGCGTACATGCCCGGGTTGCGGGCTCGATCCCCAGTGGGGGCGTGCAGGAGGCAGCCAATCGATCACTCTCTCTCATTGTTGATGTTTCTATCTCTATCTCTCTCTCCCTCTTCCTTCCTCTCTCTGAAATCAGTAAAGATATATTAAAAAAAAAATTCCACTTACCTGACAATAGTAACACAACTATTATTTTTTTGTACATCCTGAGATCATGAGCCAGCTCACAAAAGTCAGTGCAAGAAGAGCAGCCAGGACAACTGAGAGCGTCAATCGACAGCCCCAGCCTGCACACTGTTATCTTCCAGGCCCACTTCCCTGCGTCATCCTCTGATAGGCTGGGTGGCATTTTAAATGATGCAAAGCTGTTAAACGCCTGTCAATAAAGATACATGGACATCTGCTTAGTTGGGATTATTAGAGTGTTATTAAGTAAATCTTCACTTCAAGGAACTGGCTGCCACCTGTTAATTTTACTTTGCACATATTAAGTGGGCATTGCAAGATAGTAGCAGTCAGAAGCTGCCCAATTGGACAGACAAGAACTTGGCTGCAAAGGCCTGAGGCCAGGACACGAGGACGCTGTGCTGGTTATTATGGAGTTAGGCATCTTTTCCTTTTTTTTTTTTTTTAAAGATATGGCTTTATTGATTTCAGAGAGTAGAAGGGAGAGGGAGAGAGAGATAGAAACATCAGTGATGAGAGAGTCATTGATTGGCTGCCTCCCGCACACCCCCTACTAGGGATTGAGCCTGAAACCAAGGCATGTCCCCCGACCGGGAATCGAACCTCGATCTCCTGCATCACAGGTTGATGCGCAACCACTGAGCCATGCTGGCCAGGCACCTTTTCATTTTTAATGTGGAGGTTCTTGGGCCAGGATGGAAGCAAGTGACTTCTTACATGTGAAATAAATGAATTTGAGAATTTTAGTGACTGTTTGAGTGCTCTGAGGTTTGAAAAAGTTCTCAAACTCACAACAGGCCACACAGCAATGAGATAATACAGGAGACACAAGAAACCTCTAATTCAAAGCAGAGTCTGAACTGAACAGCTGCCCAACCAGTGAGTGTTCCTCTCTAAAACGTGCCCCACAGAGCAACTGTAGGTTAATGCCAAGACAATAAGTTTGAATGCTCAAAAACAAAAACAAATAGGCAAACCAAAATCCTTGATGTAAAGTGGCTTAAAATGAAGGGCAGGGATATCTGAGGACAATCAATTTTAAAGGCAGACAGAACAAAAGCGACATGAATTGGATCTGAAACAGCTCAAAAGAAGGGGATTGGATACTCCACCTAAATTGCCTTACTTCCTGTGTTTGTGAAAGTTGTGAAATATATCATATTTACATTTTTACCCCAAAATGTGGTTTAAAAAAAGAATTATTAAATGATGATTGCAACTTCAGAAAATTGAGTCACAGAGAAAAACATCATTTACTGGGGAAAAGATGGAGATAAATATCAGCTAACATCTTAAGGGGGAGGGAGCATGGGATTGAGGAAGAGATGGGGAGCTGAGATGCAGACTTGAGGGAGATTAAGACTGAAGGGACACAGAGACCCTGAGGGACGGTGCAAGGATCTTAAAGTCCCAGACTCCTTGAGCCCCTCTTAAGGAAGGGAGAGGGAGAGATAGAAACATCAATGATAGGGGAGTCATTGATTGGCTGCTTCCTGCACCCCCCCGCTGGGGATCGAGCCCATGACCCAGGCACGTGCCCTGACTGGGAATCAAACCTCGATCTCCTGAATCATAGGTCAATGCTCAACCCCTGAGCCACTCCGACTGGGCAGAAAACAACTTCTTTTAGGCAGTCTTGGGAAGGGGAGTGGAGGGTGATCTTTATGTATATATCCTATGTCATATCTTAGAGTCAAGTTACCCCAGCATGGAGGTCTCTTCCTAAGGCAGGAAGGAGAAAAGGAAAATCAGCCTAAAATCCAGCTCTCATCTCTTCTTCAGCCCGCAGTGATTGGCCTCTGAAAACCCTTTTCTTCATGTAACCTCATGCTTTCCTAGAGAATCACTTCATTAATCATTCTTGGGACTGCTGTAGCAGATACATGCACTAGTTCATGTGCTGTCCGGCATGATCCTTTTCGTTTATGTGTAGGCCCTGTCTTCCTTGGTCTATTTTCAGCATTGGGCAGATTACAGAGGCTGAGGAACAGTCAGCAAATTGTCATCAGTGCTGGCAACCAGATGACTTGGGAGCCACCGACATGAACATGAGGCCACAGGAAAGGAATGGGTGCTTTGCTCTTGGTCACCTAGGACTAGTCAGGTCTTAATAACGTGGGGAGAGGGCACTGACTTTGGGTCAAGTATGGCTTTGGAGCTTCCTTCAGGCAGACATGTGGACCTGATTGTTGGTGTTTTTACGTGCTGTTGAGTCGGCTCCCACTCCTGGTGACCCTGTGATGAGTGATGTTCACCATGTCTTGTCTTCAGTAGCCCTGCTCAGCTCCTGTAGACTCATGCCACTTCTTTTACGGAGCCAGTCCATCTCACATTGGGCCTTCCTTTCTTCCTGCTGCCTCTTATTTCCCTAGCATTATTGTCCTTCCCAGAGAACCCTGCCTTCTCATGATGTGCCCGAGGTAGGACAGCTTCAGTTTGTCATTTCTGCTTCCAGCGATGTTTCAGCTTTAATTTACTCAAAGCCTGTAGGATTCTCAATCTAGAAATTGGAGCATTGCACAAAGGGTGTGTGGACGCTGAACTCTACAGTGCCCTCTAGTGGCGTATCTGCATAGTGGAAGGAAAACTGGGAGACCTGAAAATACAACAAAAATATGCATCAGATGACACATTTCCTTTTCAGGCATTTCCTCCAACTTCTTTATATTCCCACTGAAACACATGTTCAGGATCACCATAATTTTGCCCTAAGTGTTTTTTAAAAACATTGATTTAGTTGCCAATATTTTAAAAAAGTATGTATTAATTAAAAATCAGGAGGGGATTTTGCCCTGGCTGGTGTGGCTCAGTGGTTAGAGCACAGACTGGAGCACCGAAGGGTTTCAGGTTCGATTCCTGATCAAGGGCACGTACCTGGGTTGTCTCTCTCACATCGATGTTTCTCTTTCTCTCTCTCTCTCCCTCCCACTCTAAAAAAGTCAATGGAAAACATATGCTTGGGAGAAGATTAACAACAACAAAAAAATTCAGGAGGGGATTTAATTAAAAATTTGATCCCTTTTAAACAACACGAAGACCTGTGAAGAGTGAGCTTGCAGTCCCACGTAAGGACAATCACTGGAGCTGAAGATCGGCTGTCCCTTGGGACTGGCAAGCTTTCTTGAATGAGCAAAGTCCTCCATATGCTGTTTGCAGGAGTCAGCTAGACTATGTTATACTCTCACAAAACCTCAAAACCTCAGTATCTTACAGTAACATTGGTTTGTTTCCTGCTCAAACGACATTGTCTGGGGTGGCTACAGGGTTTCGGGGTTTAGACTGAAGAAGCAGCTCCCATTTGGAATATGCTGTTCTTGCTGCAGAGGGAAAAGAAAAATGGTCACATGGGACAAAGGTTTTCTTGCTTCTGCTTGCACACCGTATATGTTGTTTTTCTCACATTCTACTGGCCAAAGCAAATCACGGGCCAAGCTGACATCAGTGGGGCAGGCAGTCTATTTCCTCCGAAGGGAAGTCCTGCAAGTCATATGGCCACGGTGAGAATATATAAAGCTCTTATGGGAAGGGCAGTGAATAATTGAGAACAATAATATAATTGGCCACATTAATTTATAATCCCTGCCTAGCTTCTTTCTGCATTGGGTTTGCAGATACAATTTAGATAGATGGCAAAAGTTAAAGGACTAACATATAGTAATTTCTTACATTTATTTTTTATTAAGATGGAATGCACACAAATTTTAAATGCACAACTTGATGGATCAGTTGAGTGTGTGTGCGTGTGTGTGTGTGTACCACCACTCAGATCAAGATGTAGAGCACTTTTAACACTCCCAGTAATTTCTTTCTTTCTTTTTTTAGGATATTTTTTCCATTATTTTTCAAAGAGAGTGGAAGGGAGAGAGAGAAAGAGAAACAGTGATATGAGCAGGACACATCGATTGGTTGTCTCCCGCATGTGCTCTGATCAGGGCCAGGGAACGAGCCCACAAGCTAGGTATGTGCCCTTGGCTGGAATCGAACACAGGACTCTTCGGTCTGTGGGCAGATGCTCTAATCACTAAGCCAAACTGGCTAGGGCCCATTAATTTCTTTCTTGCTCCTTCCCAGTCAGTACCTATCTTGCATTGAGATAACCACTAGTCTGACTTCTAACCCTGTTGGAGATCACGAGTTTCATTAGGATATGCTGAATTTGAGATTTCTCTGGAAGATCCTAGTGGAGCCATCAAGTAGGAAGATGGATGATTGAACTCGGCACTCAGAAGAGGTATCTGGACTAGAGATAGAGATGTGGCCATAGCCTGTACGTAAGAGGTAGTGATGGACAGGAGACAAGGGAAAGTCTGTAGTGTCTTCAGGCTTGATGGACAAGCCCCAGAGTGTCTCTAGCTTAGCTTTAGGAACTGAAGACACAGAGAAGACCAGGCCCTATTGTCTCAACTAAGTCGCAGGTTCCTGAAGCATCAATCTGGAGCCTTATAAAAGATACCTTTTGCCCAGAATTCATCCCCTTTTTTCGAGTTATCTCCCTCCTTTTCAGAGGTGAGCCCACAGTAGACATGTATCTTATAATGTGACCATTAATTTTGACCATGGCTGATGAGCTCATACGTGGCCCCCTGATATAACCTGAGCCTGTCTGATTCCCCTCTGGAGGATGTTTTGTTGAGAAATACAGATGACTGGGGACTAGAAGTTAAGCTCCACTAATGATGGAGTCCTTGGGTGAGAATCAACAGAAATTTCCTGAGCTCCAAGGAGCTGCCTGAGTTCCCATTCTTTCTGATGCCTGGAGTCTGAGAGGTACCCCAGTGCCTTTTCATTAAATCTTTCATTCTATGAAGCTATTTTTGAAGTGGGTTTGGGATACTTGTAACCAAAAAAGTCTTAATTAGAACAGGCCTTGATGTGTCTAATTAGGGGATCATTAACAGCATGAAGCAAAGACTGAGGCTGAGCTGAACTGGCCAGCGACCAAGATAGGCAGCTTTACAAGTAAGTCTCCATGACAGGAGCAGAGAGTGCAGGGACTGCGCTGACTGAAGTCATTGCAGATCATTTGGCATCAGATGACTAAAGGGTCCTTTTGTGCATGGCT